ATCTGTTTTACAATCTTTCTCATCATATCTCTGAAAAGAAATGTAAAATAAGGATAATTGTCAAGGCAAAAGAAATATCAAACTCACGCCAGTGAGAAACACAGCGGACGAGTCACGAGTGAAATGCAATTGGTGTACGAGTTCGTTGGGTGAGGACGAGAGGGAGCGAGGGAGAAAAGGAGAGAAAGAGACAGGCAAGGACGGAGAGCGTCGAGGCAGGGTCCAAGGGATCGAAGGACGGAGAGATAAGAAGGCGAGGGCAAAAGAAGAGACAAAGATGGGGAGGCAATAAACGAGTGAGGTGAGACGGATGGAAGACCGGAGACGGGGGCTGAGAGGGATGTGAGGACGGAGAGAGAGAGGCAAGGACAGAGGGAGAGAGATAGGGACGACGAGAGGACGGAAGAATGGATAAACGAATGAATGATCGAAACACACACAACAAGTAACTCATACCTGATGGCATTAAGCTTCTCTTCCACTGACTCCCAACGATGACGGTCTTCGCTAAATTCAAGAAGCTCTAGAAAGAAAGAAAGAATTTTAAACTTTGAGTCTCCCAAGCAAAACGCGTTTGACAAAAACAAACTTATCTTGGTTCCTTCGTCAACAAGGGTTCTATTACTTGAGATGAAATATGAATGTTGTTCTCAGCCATATTTATTGGATATCTTTTTACCCTGGGTAACAGAGGCTTTTTATGCGCGGCACAGCCTTATCTCTTAGGCTCCGACGAGCGTTTATCCCTGTGTATGCAAATGCGAACGTGAAAAAATGCAGCATTGGAGACGAAGGGCTGAAGTATCCTTGTCTCGTCCCAATTCTGTCTCGCCTTAAACCATCTCCCCGTAGTCCATTCCCCGATTTTTGAGAGAAAAACAGGTTGCAATACATCTAACTAAAATACCGCAAGTTGTGATACCCAATAAAGAAAGGTTGTGCCTTTTCGAAAGATTTTGCAGCATGGAGCAACTAAACACAATGTTAAGTGTTACTACTCCCTTAGATGGAATGCTAGTTGATCAGAGGTTCCCTCCGGCATTTTGTCAGACCGCTCTTTATAATCCGTCAGTGCCCAT